ACTGGGCCTTGATACAACATATCAAGTACTCAGAATATATCAGGCACATACTATGTAAGTGTTAAGCCCTGTATTTGTCCAAATAAGTGAAAAAAGCCCAACGCTGCCCACAGGAACATTGCAAAGAACGTCATGTGCCTGACATCCATTGAGGCTGACATCCACTCCGCAGTGCACAGAGACCATCTTCTGGGGACATCCAATCCCCATAACTCACTCAACCACCCCAGACATGATATAAAGCAAACGATGACACAACTGCCATAGCATTAGCAATTTTTTATTTTTCCTTTTTTGTTGCATAGGAAATGCAGTACTTGCTTCCAGTAATTGTATTGTAATGTGAGAAGGTGGTAGCACTAATGGTTGAATACAAGAGTTAAACTAATCCACACCAGCTCAAAAAACCTGTGGAGATTTAGTTGAATAAGAATGGACGCCCACAGTGATTCTCAACCAATTACAAATCTTCACAGAACACAGTAAAACTAAAAGGGTAACTATGAGAGTCAATACAAGTACACTAGAGGCACAGGGGGCCCGGCTCTTAAAAACAAGTTTCCGACCAAGTTATTAACACGGGGGTGTTGAGTTTCACAACAGATCTCTTACCATCGCTAGAAGTTTGCAATCCCCTTCCCCCACAATTTGAAATGAAAAACGGAGGTATTTTGAGCAGACAGATTTTCATACGTGGTGGGAAAAGTCCCCAGGGAGCTTTGTTCTTGGGAAAGGTCAGGGCTAAGGGTGAGGCGGGCAATCATGTATTTGCCTTTGAGAATCTTCTTACAGGACCTCCTAGCACGTGCTAAAGCCCCTAGCTTAGGTCTAGTTGGTATCTCAGTGGTGAGGCTACCACGTGCCTTAGCAGTGCAGAGCCTGTGGTCTGAGACCAGAGAGAAAGAAGGAGGCAGGCATCCCTCTCACACCTCCATCTGAATGCAGCCAGTGGCCTCAGGACCTTCAGTTGAGATGTTTAAAAAAAACAACTAATTTACAGACTACTAACCCCCTCCTTATAAAAAAAAAAAAAGAATAACACAAAGGAAAAAAAAAAGCTTTTGTTATTTGGAGACGTTGAATATAAAAAAGTACGAAAAATGGCCCAATACACTGGCCACTATTTGTCCTTGAAATCATCGTAGAGAGAAAAGTTCACATTGTATGACCCGGTGGGTGTTTCCACCATGAAGGTGTTCTGGTTAGATTAGAGGTAGAACTTCCACTGTACACTCTGGTGGTCCAGACACACTTCGGAAACTGTTTTTTGTATCGAATAGCATGAGTCCACATGTGAAACTTGGGATGCCTGGCACACAGACCCGGTCCAACCCCCGCACTGCCTCCCTGTTCCCATGCCTGCCTGTGGGTGGTCCCCCTTATCTTTCTGAGCACTTCTAGTATCTGCTCCCCAGACCCAGTCCCCCTAATCTGGTTAATGTAACCCTTTGGGGAATAACAGGCAGGTGGGTGTTGGCTTAGGGGGAAAAAAAAAAGATAAATTTAATTTGGGAAGCAAGTAGTTTCAAATTTAGACCAGAAAAAGTATATTAAAGAATCCCGTGTTAATAGCAAACTTCTTTTTCTTATGAATCGGGCCCAAAGTTTGTACAGAGTTTTATTTTTGAAGAAAATATTGCAACTGTGCATGAAACTAAATAGCCACGTGATTTCTTAAAGTTTTTTTTTTCTTTTTTCTTTTAATATGAGGAGGTCTGGTGTGAAGACGGACCAAGCATGGGTACCTGGCTGAACATTGTCCATTAAGAAAACACTTCAGTATCAACACAGCTTCAGTCGAGGGTCAGGGAAAATGTCCCTCACTTGGAAATGTTCTCAGGGTGTCTTCATAGCAGAGTTCTTGAAATTCAAATGGTAGTTTTGAGACAAAAATCTCACCAGGTACTGATTTCTGAAATCTAACACCCATGCTTGTCCCCTAGGAAAAAGAAAACAAAAAACAAAAACAAAAACAAAACACAAGTAATACTGAATTTAAGTAAATGTATACCTCCAAAATACTGAAAACAGCCGAAATCAAGAAAAGACAGAATTTGCGTTCTCAGTGAAATACCTTTTAAACCTAGCTGACAAGAACCAAGTCAGAAAAAAAGACTAACATAACTTTGAGTAATATTCATACAGTTCACTAAGCATTATGGAATAGCATGCATTAATATTGTACGGTTATTTTACATCACCTATACCAGAAGGTCCTGACTGACAGACAGCGAAGGCTACCGGTGTAGAAAAATCTTACTTCAGAAGAGCAATATAATACAGATTTCACAGGCACTACATTTTAATATATCAGGTATTATGCTGGTTTTCTTATAATTCTTTCTGTCCTAAAGCTGGCATTATAACAATGACCAAAAAGGCAAGGATTGAAGTAAACGGAAAGTAGATACCAAAGTTGATATAGTTTTTTCTTCAGATAGATTAGTGCATAGTTCTCATGCAGATAAACACTGCTATGCATTTACACTGTTGGAAAGCAGAGTGAATTGAGCCCAAGTTGTCACATTTGTGTAAATCATTTTGTCAGCCTGTAATAGCACCATGTAATGGATTTGCATTAAACATTAAATTGATTTCAGAATTGGTGACACAGTATTCACTACAGTTAAGTGCTATGGAATAGCTTCAATGTTACCTGCTATATATCAAAGCAATTTTCATCCCACTGCTTTTTTATTGGAAAAAATAAAAGGAAAACATACACGACGCTAATTAGACAAATGCACAGCCTTGGACGTGGAAAAGGCAGAGCGGGTTTACTGTCAAACAGTAAATACATGCATTGACTTCAAGACAAAATTGGCCTTGGAAGCCTATGTGAATGAAAGCTGTGCCAGTGGGCAGTGCAGCTTTCTGAGACTGTCTCATGACAGGTCTTGGAGGGTGGGTTGTGAGGTGCCACGGAGCTCTCCTTACATTACCATGCCGCTTGTGTTTTAGATTTGTTCTATGGAGGCCTGCTACCAAAAAAAAAAAAAAAAAAAAAAGGAAAAAAGAAAGAAGCAAACAAAACCCAGAAAGACAGGGACAGAGACACACACACACACACACACACACACACACACAGAGAGAGAGAGAGAGAGAGAGAGAGAGAGAGAGAGAGAGAGAGAGATACCACCACCACTATGGACAGAAAGATATTTCCAGAGACATGATTCAAAGGATATTAAATGACATTCTTGGACACCCCTCCTCCAAAAAAAAAAAAAAAAAAAAAATCACAGGGAAAAAAATGCTTTTCTTAATCCAGGTTTTGTAAATACTTCATGACACTATAACTCCAGAATTCAAAGCATATAGGGAGAAGGATTTGAAACAGTGAAGGACAAACTTTCTGAGATGGGTTTTGCATATTCCTGTGAGCTGACTAAATGTGGGGACTCTGGAAAGTTTGGGTTCCTTTCCACTTCGACTGTCAGAAAATGAAGGACACAAGCTTGGAGAAGTGTAACTTTGTCAGCCTGCCTACAGCCCACACCTGACAGTGGGGCAGGGGCCAGGACTGTCACGCCAGGGTATGAAGAAACAGAAACATTAATTCAAACCTCAGAGGAAAGAAGGTTCTAGGATGGAGAGTGGCATTAGGGAGAGGACCTCTGCCCATGAAAGGTCAGAAAAGGAGCGTTTGGTGGCAGGGAGAAGGGCCAGAAGAAAACATATATAGAAAAATGGTAAGATTAGTGTTTGTGCCTCTGACTTCAGTTCCCAAAGAAAAAACATGGAGAGTTATTTGAGGGACTTATCTTTGCTAATCTTGTTAATGACATTTGATGGGAGAGAAAAAATTCAAACGTGTCTCAGAATCAAGGGCTGGGCCTTCAAATGCTGATGGCTCTCAGTCTGTCTGTCTACACATCCCAGGTAGCAAAGTCTTCCTCAAACATCTTCACTCAGCTTTTACTCTAAAAAGCAGAACACTCTATTGTTGGTGTTTCTTTTTTCCTGCTTGATCACAACTGAACTACAGTTTCCTGCTGCTTTCTGGACAATGAAACATGAACGAAATTGTAACTTAGTGTATTTAATACTTAACCCCTGTTCATTATCACCCTAGACTGCCTCCCTAATGTTTTAAAGCCTTTAAAACATTTTTTTTCCTGCAAATCTGTTCAGAATTCTCTAATTTTAGCTTCATCAAACTTAATACAACAAAATACCTTCAAAAATACAGCATACCTGTAACGTCCATTTACAATGGTTTTTCAGTAGACCTATACTTCTCAAGTATAGGAATATGCTATACCATTGAGAAGAAAAAAATAACTGTATTTAAATACTTACAAAAAAAAAAAAAGGAAACAGGAAAGTTTTAAACTTAAATCCAGTTCCCAAAGGGGGCGGGGAGAGAAAAGCAATTCTATGAATGCTGCCTTTATAATGAACAATCAGAAATTTCACTAGGCTAATTTGACAGAAATTTTTCCTCATTTAAACAACATTACAAAAGTCCTGCATTATAAAATAGGGTAGAATAAATCAGTGTAATCAATAAAACTATACAACAATACAAATTACATATCTTCTGAGTGGGCAGTTTATTCTCTCTCTTTGCAGTCATGACTACAACATGCTCACTAAAAACAACTAAAACTGCCCAAACTATTGCTTAGTTTGTTTTGTTTAAAAAAGGGTGCAATTTTAATGTATATACAACCAATTTACTGGTAATACCTTGGCTTATTGCAAGGTTCTGACAAAATGTTTGTCTAGGCTTTTTTCCCTTCACTGTGAAGCACTGAAAGCTGCTATTTTTTTTTCTTTTTATTTTCTTTCTTTTTTTTTTTTTTTTTTTTTTTTTTTTTTTTTTTTTTTTTTTTTTTTTTTTTTTAGTGCACATATGTCATAATAAAGTAATGCCCAGCTAAGTGCTATAAGGGAAGGCAAAGTATGCTGGCTGGCTATAGGAAGTGACACCGTACACTGACAATCACACCATACAACAGCGCCAAACGACTATTCAACCACTTATCAGACACATATGAAAATCCAAAATGTTTTATTTTATTTTTTTTTCCTTAAATAGAGATAACCAGTAAACAATTTTCAGAACTTGGAAGTTTAAAAACGTGCATATAAAAATGGGCATTATATACTTTTTATTGAATGTGGATTGACTGCAGTCTGCTAAGAAAAATGGGGTGTGGGAGCTGAAGAAAAAGGAAGTTGTCTTTTTTTTTTTTTTAAGGCTTGCTTGTGAAAGGAACAGTTGTAAAAACAAAATTGCTTGAAGCAGGGTCAGCTTAGTGCTTCACAGTTTGACTGCTTCTCTAAGAGGAGCCCTTCCTGTGCACGTGCATTCAAAAATCACAAAAAAGTACAAAGACAAACACCTAAAACACACTGCGTCAAGTGCAGCACCGACTTTGGTCAAATAAAAAAAAAAAGAAAAGAGAAATTAATAATTGCTAAGCTTTTCTACATGATATAAGCAGGTATTGCATATTTTCATATATCTGGGGAGAAAATAAAGGAAGACTCCAAATAAATTGTAAAATGCAGCAACATCCAAAATACTGATATTCTAAGCATCTACAGATCTCAGAATAGCACTGCCACTGACCATACAGGACAATAACGACTACTCCTATCTGCGGAACAACTAACTCTCTATTTAGTTCTAGATGTTGAAACTGACGATGGCTGACATAAAAGTCACATTTACAAAAAGTGTCTCCAAATGCTTGACTAGGGAAAAACCCCTTTCAAAAGAGGAGCATGTGCAACAATTCCACAAATAATCGCTATCCAGGGCAAGGCACATTGATATGGAATTTTTGTTTTCGTGCAAATTAAGGAAAAAAAACAAAACAAAACAACATTGTTTCAGGGGAAAGATGAGGAGCAAAGTGTCTTCCCAAGAATTTCAGTTACTTGATTGTATAGGACAGCAGTAGAACCCTTCTGAAGGGCTGAAAAACATAGTTTAAAGGCAAGTGCCTAGAGTAGGGATTACAATATTGTGTCTTAATGCACTCTACTTTATCCTACATTAACTATATAAAAATTAGTTACTAACACTAGAACATGCAGAGACTTTCTCTGATCAGCGGGGCTTGCCAACCAGAACGTGTATATATATGTATAGTATAGGAAACCTTCTTGAAGTTGCATGGGAAGCAAAGGGGTGCTTCGCTGTCTGGTAGAAAAATCACTTGCACTTTTTTTTGTTTTTGTTTCTGTTTTTTTTTTTGTTTTTTTGTTTTTTACATAAGATACAGGACATGTGGGGGTGCAAACTTATTTTTTGTTTTTCCCTAACAAGTGCCCTTGATCTGAATGGGCACCAGCATTTGTGTCAGTATTGGTTTATTATTATTATTCTTATTTTCCCATTAGCCCAGGTCAGGGACGCAAAGGTCTTTAAAACTTCTGGACAATCTCTGGTACAATGAAGTGTCTGATAACTGATAAATCTATGTTGCCAGATACATGTAAAAATTTTCAGAATTGGCATAATCCATTATAGTGAACTTCTAGCTTATAAAATTAACAGATACCATGATTTCACTTTAGTTATGTGCTTTGATAACTGAAAATAATTAATTAGCATTTAATGTAGTTAACATATTGTGGTAAAAGCACCATTAGATTTGTTTTTTTTTTTTTTAAATTTTCCTTCAGTTTTTAAAGGGATACAAGTTTAACAATAAAAAACATAAAAAGCAAAAATAGCTCCCCTTTTTCTTGCAAGGCTGTTTTTTACCCCAATAATTTAGAGTCCTGGGGTGAGAGGACTTGAAAACAAAAATAGAATTTTCAACAATCTCTATCTTACAAAGATATTTAGCTATCCAATGAAATTGCACTTTACTCAATTCAAAATTCGATTGTTTTGATTGATTCCTGTCAGTTTCTGTCAAAACAGACCATCTTCCCCATATCCATGTGAATTTTTGTGTCATTGTTGAAATTGTTGAAAAAATGTTGTTGTTGTTTTTTTTTTTTAATGTAAGTGCAGCATTCAAAACTTTTAAAAAACTGAATAGTAGTAGTAGTAGTTTGCCATTTTCGGAATCGTTCTGCAACGTGAGTGGATTCATTGTCCTTGCGGGCCATGTTATAGACTTAACTGCTGACTGCTGAACCAAACCAAACTAAAAGAAAAAATAAAAAAGGAACATAACAGCATTTTCTTTTTCCAATATGTTACAGAAAAACATTGCCCTTTGACTGTCCGTAAGTTATATATTGCAGATCTCAGCTACTACAAAAGATTTAGTTCTCCATGTGCCTCCTGAATGCTCAAGGAGGATCACACCTGTGTGGGTAAATTCATGAAATACTGTGAAACAGCCAGGCTCCGTAAGGAAATGTGTTACAACAGGAAGTCAGTGAGCCAGGGTAGTCCTCCGCTAGCCACATCACCTAATGCTCACGCTACCGTGGAAACACTTCAAATGTTACAAAGCCCAACCATTTCCAGCACCATATGAGAAATTACAACAGTCCCTAAAGTATTTTAAAAAAAAATCCCAAAAGGTTATGGCCTTTGCTGTTTGACCATAATGCTTGCTGTTTCCATGTACAAGTTGATTTGAATCGGTTTTCCTCCCCTTCCACTGACAGTGAAGTTGTAACTGCGCTGAGTTGAGGTTGCGTCCGTGTTACAGAGTTGAGAAGGGGTCAGGTGGTCTGTCTGGTGGATGGTGGGATGCTGCAACTTTTATCCCAGGTACCAGGACTGGAAGACAAAAGGAAAAGTACAATTAGAAGTATAATTTGTAAAACAGCGTATTTCAGAAGTTGCCCTTCCAACCATGAAATCAAGATCCACATTAAGGATGAGGGAGGGATCCTCTAGGAAAAGTAAACGAATGACAAGCAATAGTAAATCTTGACACACTGAAACTGATCTTACTCTTCTGCAATTAAAATTCATTGTCTTTGCTGGGGTTTGGGAGTGTCTTACAAAACAAGGCATTTCTGTCCATTGAAAATACAAACACAGGTCTTGTCGTCTGGAGGTGGGCAGTTATAGGAAGGCAGGAACCTGGCCATCTCTTTCACCACTCAATCCTCAGTGCCTGGCATAAAGAATGTTCTCAACAAGGCAGGCTTGAAGGACTAGAGAGTGAGGGTGGGGAGAGGTTTTGGGGGGTGATGAATGGTTACTCCGATGGTTTTCACAACGTCTGCTTCTCAAGGAGTAGTAGGAGGAGGAGTAGGCACTGGAGATGTGATCCAACATTCTCTTAACAGGGACAGACGGCCAGTAGTGATGGAGAGTCAGCAGGGGTAACGAGGGAAAAGTGCTGTAGCAGGTGTCCGGGGTGATGTGGGGCAAGTCACAGCATTTCTCTCGCACTCCATTTCCTTATGGGTGTGGAGTAAATTTTATGATGTAAAATGCTCCTTTATTTCAATAGTTCTAAAATAATATTTTCAAAAATGACACGTAATAATCAAGTAGTATCAAGATTTTACCCTATTAACTACCATGATGTCCAAAGGAAAAACGAGGCCATCGCCTACCCTTCATTCAATACTTTTCTTCATTTAACATTTAGGGTAGAGCTTTCTATATGCCTGCTGGGCCCAGTTACCTTTTCCTTTCATAAATCCTTAGCTTTGAGCAATATCCCCTCATCTGCTGGCTGTTCTTTTTCTGTCAGCTAAACAAACTGACCAATTATGGACTAATACCAGAGTTAGTTTCTCGAGTGAAATAATAAAGCATATGGCTTTTGCCAACTCTTCTCTAGAGATACCCTGACAAATTCACTACATTTATCATTACTCACAGAAAAATCATCAACTTCAAGAAAAAGTGACTGCATTTGAATTCTCTAGAGTGGACAGTATCAGAAAGGGTTACATCTGGGTTGATTCAGTCAGGTGAAGGCTCATCCTTGTCCAAGAGATTCAATTAGGTAAAGTAAGGACTAGTTTGATTCCAGGCATAAATGGCTCAGTGACAGCTACGTGGAGGTTGGTATAAGACTTCCTGGTCACATAAGCTACCTTTGATTTCTAGAGGAGTTTTAAAAATCCAAGCCTAAATCAAAAAACTACTCATTCTGTATGCTTTTAGATGGTGTTATTTGACCACATGCTTTGCATAGTACCATATAGCCTCCTGTGTCCTGAAAGTATACCATCCTGGCAAATACACACTCCCAAATCTAACTGGACACAAGGAAGAAGAGGGCGAAGACAGGAGAGGAGGGGCCGGCTCCCAAGTGTCTTTTTAGTAGGACTCTCCTAATGCTGACGTGGATCCATGTTACAGCCACTTTTTCTCTTTAACAAAACACAGTCTCAAACTTTGGGTGCAGCAAATAATGCTTACAATTTCTGTTTTCACACTTTCTGTCAGCTGTGAAATTCCAGACTTCTTCAATCTGACACTAAGGTAGTTCTTGAAGCAAAGGCCTGGGACCCAGCAAGTCAGCAGGGGGAGCAGTTTTCCATCCCACAGTTTCTGGACGAGACCTCAGGGCACTACAAAAATCTGCAGTGCCTCTGCACTTCTCTTAAAAAGCAAAGCAAAAAAAAAAAAAAGTTTCTTCACACATCTTACTATTCAGTATGTGCCTTGCCGACAAGGTTACCCCAGAGCAGCTCTGTAATCCTTCACTGAAATAGGCTTTATTGATTGCTCTGGTCTATTGTTCTCTTTTGAAGTCCCCCAAGTTCAAGTTCATCCTGGTGTTACATCATGTCTGGTTGCTAAGAGCAACCAGACAGACCCAGACGTGACTATCATTAGCAAGAAACCCTCTGCTCTCCTCCCACCAACCTTCCAGTGGTTCTGACGTAGCAAGCCCACTGCAAACACATTGAAGTATTTATTCTGCCTAATTTATGACCTACACAGCAAGCAGGACCCCCACTCCAAAAACCAACACTGTTGTATATTTAATTAATCTGTCTTTCTCTGGCACTTGGGAAAGTTAGACAAAGGACTAATTATTGTGTTTCACTCTCCACACTTTTCTTTTGGGGGGTGAATATTTGCATGGGAAAGAAAACTACAAGGCCCAGCATGGGGGGGCCTCCCCTTTTTCTTTTTGCCCTATTGACATTTCATGAAATACTTTAGCTGCTTAAGGGAATTAGAAAAAAAATGCGATGTGAATGTTACTCCTTCTGAGTTGGTATTCAGTAACACAAATCAACTCATGACATGTTTAAATTTAAATGCTAACCACACACTCTCAGAGTTACTTTAAAGGTTAGTTTTTAATCAATAGAAGTTGCTGACTCCGGGTTTTTGAGCTGCGCACTGCAACTCTTGGGCTTTTGTCTAACGTTAAAGCTTTCAAACTTTTTTTTTCCTTGAGATGATTTTAGCAATGATTTGCAGACACAGAGGCTATTGTGCTCTGACCAGCAACATGTCAATAGAGGAGCCGAGCTGCCCTGTGGTGGGGTGTCAATATGACTCCTGAAGGCAGGGGTTGGGGGTCTTTAATAACCCGTGAAAAAACCTTAATTAACCCTTTCAGGCCCAAACCAAAACCTATTCTTCAACTTTTTCACTCCTGTAATTTGACCATTAGTACTCATTTCAACATCACACTAATCTTCATGACAATTAACCCAGCTATTTGACCAAGGGTTTCCAGAATGGGAAGTCAGTTAGGGGAACCACACGGGGGTTTTTTTTTTTTTTTTTTTTTTGAATGAGGTCTCTTTGATTAAATCATTTATTTGCAGAGATGGCAGAAAAACAGTTCTAATAATGATAAATTCGTCCATTTCACCAAAATTTTCTCATAGTTTGTAGGTGAAAATGCTCATAATCCCATTGTATTGTGTGTGACAGTCACCCATGTATATGCCATTTGATTTCTATAAACTCCCACGGACTGCTAATAACACCAGATGGACAAGATAATGTTTGGAAAATCCCATCTTTCTCTTGTGATATATTCTTATAATTTCTATTATGCAAGCAGTGCGAGTTCCAAGACATTCACTGAAGAATGATTCTGCATATTTTCTTCTTGGCCATACAGGACAAAATATAAATGAAAACTGAGATTGCTAAATTGTTGGGATTGAGTAGCAAGTTGCTGGGAAAATGTTGACACGTTATGCAAAATTCATTTATGGAGAGTCAAAAAATCGTCTTCAGACGTTTACTGACATAAGCTTAGATTTCATATGGTTTCTGCCTTCGTACTTTATAGCCGCTTAATCTAACCTACTGTATCCAGATGGACTACAAAGGAATCTCTGTCCCTTATCTGCAGTGAGTCGCAATATTACAATACAATATAGGATGATGTTATCTTGATACATTTACATTAAGGAAGTAAACACAGAGCTTTGATCTATTTTTCCCCCAGGAACTTTCAGCTATAGTTGTTTCGGAGGTCCATAAATCCACATTCCCACAAAGGCTCTAGTTAGTAAAATTAGCCAGTTACATTCTCAACGTCTATGGTCTGGGATGTGCTGGCGGGGGTGGGGGTGGTGGGGGTGG